GCCACCTGGCCTACCTGGGACGAACCTGGGTGACTTCACTGCTTTCTAGAACATGCCAAAGGATGCCCCAGCCCACGCTGTGTGAAGACTTGGGCACCTCCAGGCCTGGACGCACAGCAGGGAAGCCCTTGGTTGGCAGTTTGAAGCGACCCAGCAGTCCCGCGGAAGAAAGGCCTGGTGTCTGCATCCGTGAAGCTTACAGCCTGGAAGTCTCTGTGGGGCAGTTCTATTCAGTCTTCCCACACAGTCACTGTGACCCCCAAACCGGACTTGACAGCCCCAAACAACAGCAGTTGGTGTGAATAGCTAAGTGCTTGGCTACTAAGCAAATGGCTGGTGGTTTGAGTACACTTCCCCCAGGGTCACTTCAGAAGAGCAGCCTGGTGGTCCACTCCTGGAAGCCCTGTGGGCCTCCTCTGAAGCACACAGGGTCACCAGGGGTTGGAATCAATTCTGATGGTTCTGATTTGAGTGTGAAGAACTAGAATGTAAAACCTAATGGCATTGTCTCAACCCTCCCTCCAGTATGCTGAGCAAGTTGCTCACCACCTCTGGGCCTCCTCAGCCCTGTGGCAAATGATGGGGGAAAGTGTTTCTAGAGCTCGGCTCTTCTGGTGAGATGTGAGTAAGCCACTCAGAGGACACGTCTGTAGGTGCCCAGGTTGGGGAAACGCTAGGACAGGCTCCTTTACGTAAATCAGGACGGCTCAGGCCCGTGAATACAATGTTTATGAGCATGGTCAGTCTCCAGGCAGGTGAGCCATCCGCACAGAGCTCTTCTTGGGTTACTCCCAGGGGGGGTGGGGGGGCCTGGTCTCCCCCAGGGGGCTCCCAGCACTGACATCCCCAAAGTCTTTATTGGGTGCCTCCTGTCTGCCAGGCTCTGCGCAGGGCACCAGTGCGCCGTAGGGGACACACCAGGTGCTGTTCTCTCCTGCGTTTCTTGTACTTTGGACAGGTTGTCAGGAGAGACCAATCCCTGGAGAAAGACATCGTGCTTGGTCAAGTAAAGGGCGGCGAAAAAGACAAGGCCCTCAGCAAGCTGGACGGACACAGTGGCGGCAACCATGGGCTCCAACCTGAGAACTGTGAGCGTGGAGCCGGACCGGGCGGTGTCTCGTTCTGTTACACGTAAGGTCCCTATGAGTCGGAACGACTCGATGGTACCTAACAACAAGTCCTCCCCTCCTGGAGCTTGGCGAGCAGACTGCCCGAGTGGACATGGTCTCAGACCAGCGCTCTCGCCACATCATTCATGCTAAAGGTTGACTCTGGTCTTCCAGACCTGCATTCGTGGCTTGGGTAAAATCTAACACCACAGAGCATGCCAGGGCTCACCAGAATGAAGGCACCATGGGACAGGAGCCAGAGCTCCACCTCCAGGTGTCCTTGTCACCAAGGGAACAGAAGCATTCCTACAACAAAGGGCCTCCAACGCCCAACTTCCTGCCACACACCCAGATGCGAGCCTTCTCTCGGTGAGTGGTCACCTGCAGAACCAAGTCCTAGGGACACGAGGAGCCGCCCTGCGGTGATTTAAAGCAGACTGGTCAGTGCACAGCATCAGTTCCCAGCCTGTCCCCTGCCTGTGGGCCCCATGAGTAGCACCCCCATCTATCTAAGCTGGCACTTGCTGTGACTGATGAATGGAGGCTGGCTCCAAGAGTATCTCGTGGTGGGGTGCCCCCTGCTCTTCAGATGTTTGAGGGTGCACGGGCCTGCCGCATCCTTCTTGGCTGCTTCCCCTGCAACAGCTCTCAGAAAGGCTTCTGGGAGTTTCAGCCCTGCCTGGATTAGGAGCAACTTTCCCTCGCCTCATGACTGCTGTCCTTAACAGTCTCCCAACTAGGGGGGTGGGGAGTGTGCCCCCCACCCCACCCCATGAGGATGCAGGCTAGTCTCCAGCTGGGCCGCTCCACTCACTTGCCTGCCTGGAACCAGCCTGAGACCCTGGAATGTCCCCAAGCATCCCCACAGACACAGATGCATTCCCCATTCTTCGTGGCGTGGGAAAGGGAAGGGAGGGGCCTGCTGTCCTGAAATGGGGCCCACAAGTCATTGTCTGGCACGTGGGAGATCCTGCTGCTCCACCGGGGCCTAGAGAAGCCCACGGAAACCATGGGCACGTCCTCCAGCTGTGACCAGCCCTCTGCACAGTGCTTGTTGAAAAATAACTCAGGCCCAGGCAGTGCCACATTTTGTCGTGGGGTCCCCTGATCTGAAGAGATCTGCCCTGTGGTCAGAAGCCTGGCAACTCCCTGACCCCCAGGCCCACCCCAGTCCCCGGCCTGCGACTTTAGTCTCTCAACAGTGCTGCCTCCCTGGGAGCCTGATCCCGTGAAAGCTTCTCCTGTGCCTGCT